CGCTCGATATATAGGTGAGTGAAACCACCCGCCGCGACTACTATTCCAGGCATTGAATTGCTGCACATATATGAGACAAGCAGTCCAATGTCGATATCGCTGTCCGTGTTGGGGACCGGTCAGACATTCCAAAATTATTTTGAATAGGATTGCTTAAACCGTCAGTTGGGCAGGGAATACGAAATATGATTTCTTGTCGTCACACAGAATGTTACCATTCACATGGTGAAGCGTTCTCCAGAGCAAGTGTATTCCAAGGAATATCAGTTCCGTTTAAGGCCATTTGATCATTAATCAGACCTGATTACCATTCTAGACGAGAGCCAGCCCCAATCTCAGCATCACAATTTTTTCGGAGCCACCAGCACCTGTAATGATCTATTAGGAGCAAGAGTCAAGGCGAACGATCGCATTCATTGAACGCGGATAAAGGAGGATGGAAATGAACCACTCGTCCCTTCCCTAATCTAGCAATTCCTTACTGCCAAAAGATCGACCGGTCAGAAATTGAGTAAGTAGGGAGCAATTTGATGATACTTGAAATCTTGGGAAGACAAGTGCAATATTATTAGGTAGAAAACTGTTAACGAATAAATTCAGCGCAGAAAACGTGATACGTATTTGCTAAATGAAGCTTCACAGTAAGGGGCCAGATTGAGATAAACCACGGTTGATAAATTTGCGAGTGACAATGGAAATTTGTGTATCCAGGTCACGACTATGTCGCCTCCCCATAAATCATTAAGTAAACAACGATTCGATGGAACACGTGAACTCCACGCCCCAAGGAATTCGACGAAAAGCGATAGAGGCGTGAGAATTTTAATATGAAAACTGGCTAAAGGAATTGACATGCTGGGGCATAGATGAAACGAAAACAGAGTCTCAAGAAGCAGCTCCACAAATTGGGCTGCTCGGACATTCGGCGTCCTTCTGGACAACCGTCAATCGCTGGCCCACCGGGTTCGTACCGAAAACATTCGCAAGTGTGCAGTTCGATCCATCGTGGCGTGTCTAAAACGAAAACGAGTTACGTCGCAGTGCTAGTCCCAGAGCTCCAGCCATTGACTCACCATGAGTTGGAAATGTAACGCTTTATCCCCTCCATGGGGCCGGATGTAGAACACGTCCACAGTCTTCCCAGGCAAAACAATCCCTACCTTGAGAAATGCGTTGTCAACGACAAGTAGATTCCCACAATCGGCTTACCAGTTCCGTAATGAGTGCTTGTTCGTCCGAATTGGGACAACGCGGATCACCTAAATTTGATGGATCACCCGATATCATCGCCATGATAGCCATGAAAGCCGTTATGGATAAGGTCGAACAGAATACTGGAAGAAAAGAATAGGTATTAGCTACGATGTGATCCATTCCGCAACCTGTTCGGACATGCTAATTATGGGAAATACATCTGCCAGATCTACGTTGACTCGTCTCCAATAGAAACAAACACACAATTCATCCGTAAGTAATAATCATGCATCTTCATGAATACATTCCTTATCATGGAAACGTACCAGGGAAACCGATCATCATTTCGCTCCACTGCTTGACTTGACGAAATTACTGAACCTGGTGCCGGATATATATCGGAACAATGGCGTCCGACTCCGATAAACAGGATTGCCTTCCCGAAAAACACTGAGTGTTGGCGCCGAGAAATTCAGATTTGTCAAAACGCCACTGTTTTGACCACTACAACTGACTTTCGAATACCGGGGACAACACTGTTTACCAAACAAACTGGAAATCAAATCGGACGTGTTCGCATGGAAGTCAGGATCCAGGAGTACGGTAGAGCTGCACGAACATTCGGTGAGACACGGAATGTGGCAAAACTCCGTCCCTTCAGAATAATGCTGCTTAGGTCAGCGATCGCTGTTGTTTTAGGAATCGAATTGGCAATTCCAATCATTTACATTTCACAAACCTCTGTAAACATGTATTCCGGAAATCGAGCACTTTGTATTCGCCTGAATTGTGCCTGCTATACTGACCCGTGTTAATTAACTAGAAATAACTTGACATTTGGTGTGTTAAGATTTTTGTGGAATACACCATTTCGGAGCATTGACTTTCCGTCATCTAGGCTCTGCACGAGAGTGTGAGTTGGATTCGAATTGATACCGTATCGCTGAGTCTTTGTCCATTCAAAGACATCTTGGTCATTCAAACGTTATTGGGATTCGTTTTCCGATTGACAATGTGGTAAAAGTTATGGCTTGCGTTTAACGACAGTTGACATTTGCTAACCGCTCGGCAATATTTAGAAGGCTGAGATTGAGGGCTGGTTCTTCTTATTAGGATCCTAAACGGTTCTGAATTTCCCAGCAGACTCTCCAAGTCCTCGGAACTCATCAGTACGTAAATATTAGTGCGTTTTCTATTGGCAATAAGCGTATTTCTTATTTCGTGCTCGAATTACTGTCGAAGTAATTTTTTAGGAATAATTTAACGATGTTCGTCTTTTCCCCTGTGCGGACAGGCCAGCCTCTATTTTGTGCACAAATACGAAATTTATGTTTGTGATAGTGTGAGCTAACGCATATGTAAGCAAATGTTTACCTGAAATACAAGTGATGCGTCTAGCATTGCAATCCAGAATCCGCAAGTTCCTCAAACCCGTACACTACTCATGTGACAATGATTGTAGAATGTGAGGATTTCGAACGATTGGTCCTAATATAAAATTGATTTGGAGTGATTTTCTGCTAGTGCATCGGTCTGGTATTTAGGTAGAGATAAATAAAGGAATGAATGAGCGAAACGCCCGTCCACGGAATTTTATTCGCGATGCCTCATGATGAGTGAATATTTCGCTAGTTTCGTGCGATTTGGTTTCAAGTGGAACATAAGATCGTGGACTGCGCCGGTCGTGGGCTGCCGAGCAATTTTCCGCATCCAAATGAGTAATGCATCGCGATATCTCAAATATCGTAGCAACTGAAAAACGAGGCGTCCTTGTGCAGCACTTTCGGATGCCTGCGAACGTCACAAACGTAAGATTCAGTGGAGTTCCAGATGGGTCTTGCAAAATCAAGCTGGTCTGCAAACGACTGTATTTCTCTAATTGATTTGTTGTGATTTTCGCAAATCGACCAGTCCGGTAGTTAGATAGGAAAAAAGAAAGATCGAGTAAAAACCCGGTCCATGTAATTTCACCTACCATATGACCGCATCAAACGAAAAACGGAATCAAACACATACAAGCACGGGCTCATCGTGTAATCTAGGATGCTTCCTGGAGAGAGTTCAGCCAGATGTCTCCGTTTGAAGAGCCCGTGTTCAACAACCATTGTCACATGACACTTGTGTAATTTTGAGGAACGAGTAGCGTCGGAATTTCCAGGCTAATCCAAAGGTTTCCAGCGCGTGACCATCAATAACCGGTCGCTGGAAGACGGATCGGTAGGGAAACGTATCTTGAAAACAAAATAACTTCCGAAATCTGAAAAAAATTCTGTATCAGTCACAGTCCCGACGCGACGAGTTGCAACCTATTCATTCACGTTTGGAAAAACCTGTGCTAGCTGAATCTCGACGGATCATCGAATGATAAAGCTGAAAAGAAAATTGTTGCGCGTATTCAGGAATGGAACGTGAAGATAAATATAAGTTTGCAATCCCCCAATGCAGCATCCTAGAAGAACAGCAATACCATAACCAATAATTTTGCATAAGTCAGTCGAACTCAAACAGATGTGATCAATGCAGAAGCGCGATAGCCGCAAAGCAATGCTCCAAAATGGTGTATTCCACAAAAATCTTAACACACCAAATGTCAAGTTATTTCTAGTTAATTAACACGGGTCAGTATAGCAGGCACAATTCAGGCGAATACAAAGTGCTCGATTTCCGGAATACATGTTTACAGAGGTTTGTGAAATGTAAATGATTGGAATTGCCAATTCGATTCCCAAAACAACAGCGATCGCTGACCTAAGCAGCATTATTTTGAAGGGACGGAGTCTTGCCACATTCCGTGTCTCATCGAATGTTCGTGCAGCTCTACCGTACTCCTGGATCCTGACTTCCATGCGAACACGTCCGATTTGATTTCCAGTTTGTTTGGTAAACAGTGTTGTCCCCGGTATTCGAAAGTCAGTTGTAGTGGTCAAAACAGTGGCGTTTTGACAAATCTGAATTTCTCGGCGCCAACACTCAGTGTTTTTCGGGAAGGCAATCCTGTTTATCGGAGTCGGACGCCATTGTTCCGATATATATCCGGCACCAGGTTCAGTAATTTCGTCAAGTCAAGCAGTGGAGCGAAATGATGATCGGTTTCCCTGGTACGTTTCCATGATAAGGAATGTATTCATGAAGATGCATGATTATTACTTACGGATGAATTGTGTGTTTGTTTCTATTGGAGACGAGTCAACGTAGATCTGGCAGATGTATTTCCCATAATTAGCATGTCCGAACAGGTTGCGGAATGGATCACATCGTAGCTAATACCTATTCTTTTCTTCCAGTATTCTGTTCGACCTTATCCATAACGGCTTTCATGGCTATCATGGCGATGATATCGGGTGATCCATCAAATTTAGGTGATCCGCGTTGTCCCAATTCGGACGAACAAGCACTCATTACGGAACTGGTAAGCCGATTGTGGGAATCTACTTGTCGTTGACAACGCATTTCTCAAGGTAGGGATTGTTTTGCCTGGGAAGACTGTGGACGTGTTCTACATCCGGCCCCATGGAGGGGATAAAGCGTTACATTTCCAACTCATGGTGAGTCAATGGCTGGAGCTCTGGGACTAGCACTGCGACGTAACTCGTTTTCGTTTTAGACACGCCACGATGGATCGAACTGCACACTTGCGAATGTTTTCGGTACGAACCCGGTGGGCCAGCGATTGACGGTTGTCCAGAAGGACGCCGAATGTCCGAGCAGCCCAATTTGTGGAGCTGCTTCTTGAGACTCTGTTTTCGTTTCATCTATGCCCCAGCATGTCAATTCCTTTAGCCAGTTTTCATATTAAAATTCTCACGCCTCTATCGCTTTTCACCGAATTCCTTGGGCGTGGGGACTTTACCTCCTCCATCTAATTTTTCTTTTCCTGGGGATTTGTCGGGTAGCGAGAATGTCGTCTGCTTAATCCATAAATTCTCGGGCGCTTGGATGATATGACTCATATCTTGGAAGCTTTGTTATGCGACCATTTATGACCCTGTAGTACATTTGTCAACTTCGTTTGAGCAATTTATTATGGTAATTTAATTGATGGAGTGTCTGCATCACTGTATTATTTCGCGATCGCTACGTTGCTATACTTTGGAAGGTGTTTTTCTCATCCTAGCCTTATTCGTGAACCCTGGTGTGATTGACGCTAACGTAAACCAAGGTTGTGGAGATGAGTGAAAATTCATTTTCTTCTTTAATTTGTGTTTGATGAATGCCGGGTTCAAGAAGCGAATCATTATGGCTGAGGTTGTGAACAAAAGCGAGTAGTGAAGGCAACTGTTGGCCTCTAATCTTGTACGGACGATTCCACCGAGCATGTGATGCTCCGTTCATCATATGACGGGTGCTGACGACCGGCTGCTCAAATTCGTGCTCCTGTATAATCTTGTTTCATCAAACAAATTCGTCTAGGGAAGAGGAGGGGGACTTTCGAGACCAGAACACATTTCATCTCACAAAACCTGATGAACATTTTAAACCACAATTCAGCTTCTAGATTTCTATTACCTGCGAATGACCTGTAGGCTTTAGCACGTTCTTGGCTGTGTAATGCTTCGTGGTAGACTTGCTTCTTCTAAATTGCGCGACCGTACGTTCCGGGTGCACGTTGAGTGTCGGATGATATCATTCTCAACAGAAGTCAGCATTTTGGTCATACCCCTGAGCTTCACCGTCCATCTCTTGATTTATTCAGCGGAGCCCACTTGTCGGAGTTCCACGAAGAGCCGAGGACTTCGTCAGTTGTGAACTCACCAGATTGAGTGCTATCTACGTTGTGCACTGATTTGCATGTGGTCCTACCCCGCTGGACGACAACAACTAAACTTTACAACCTGACATTAGTTTCCCACAAGGTGTTGTTTTCCGCTTACCCAAACAATCTTCCATACATGCTAGTGCTTTGTAGATGCCTCAGCTGCGTCCGTGGCCTCCATTTGCATCAGGAACCCCTCCAGCATTTCCAAATTACCTCAAAATTATAAGTGGTTCATACAACCTGTTCAGGGAAACGATTTTAGAAAATACCCAAGTGTGTCCTGGAGTGCAAGATGTTTTAATGCACTGTGATAAGATATTACATGCTGTCTGTTGCCATTACAACAGACTTTACCATTGGGAATTTCACCATCTAAAAGCTCCTTAAATTTCCCAAATATCCGAAATTCGGCGTTTGGGTTGTTTTAGTGGACGCTTTTTGATACCCACAAATAATTTTATGGATATAAGCTCTGTGTTTCTGGTGTTTTCTCGCTCTTGGTGGTCGGTTAATGGGATCAATTTCGAAATGGATTTTGATAGCTGCTTCAGTGTAATACCACGCTTCGATAAGTTCGCGTTCTTGCCTCGTTCTTGCTTGCGCCAATATGCTAGCGCTACTCCAGTCGAAATCGTTTCCTTCCTGATTTTGTGTGTTCTCGGAAAAGTTTTCGCAGGCTTGTAACCGACGGTTGTGTTGTGCTATCGTAGGAGCTTTGGCGTCATTTCAGCGGTGTCCGTGGTGCCTGGGAGTGTGATTCGTTTGCTCGAATTTTATGTCGATGCACTGATCGTATTGAGCTTCCTCCAGATGAAATTCTTGGGGTACCCACTTTTCTGAAACAATTCGAATAGCCGTATTTCATTGATCTTGGATTCTGTTGTGCGGCGAATAAAAGTTGCATAACTATCGGGTAATGAATCCCGCTTACCGAAGTGAATCAATTACTTCATGCATAATAAGTTGTCAGACATGTTTCCACTCATCCCGTAGTGGCCAAGTTCGTCGCTGCGGGCGACTCATACACGCGGCAAGCGCTTCAACGCAGCTGTTCTCTACCCCATACTTGCTGTTCAGAATCTAAACCATTTCGCAGTACATGAAGCGCAAACCGATGCGAAAACCATGACTTGGAGTGCATATCCTAATGCGCAAATATGCTGGCGACACAACAAAACACATTGGCTTTCTTGATCTCGCTAGGTTCGTGTAAGGAAGCGAAGCCTCCTGCTGAGAACCGCTCAAAGGATAGTGGAGCAATCAGAGGTAAACAACCCGGATTTGCATTTTTCTAAGCAACTTACGACACCCTGCTGCACTTCCGCGATCTCTGCCATGTTTACCGCATAGCACTCCTAGGCGGGCGAACACGCGTCACTCCTGCTCACATCCTGAAAATTACATGCAGAGAGTGAAGACGCAAGTTTTCCGCTCTCGTCAGTCATTGACCTCCCACGCCTTCTGTTTTTTCCCCACCCCGAATCCACGTTGTCACACCTGTTTCCCAAAAGGCTGGTTAAGCCTGACAATAGACGATGGGGCTCTCCGCGGTTGTTTTGTATTCCCGCCGGTCGTCGCATACGTTGTTTAAATAATGGCTGACCGGATAGCCATGCTCCAAAGCAAGGCCAATTTTCCGTAGACTAGCTTTCCCAGTATGACTGGTTTGCAAGGAACATGGTCGCTGATGTCGTATGTATACCTATGGGGGTGGGGCGATAAGTCTACGAGATGTCAAGAGGTCTTGTTTTGTGCAACACCCTGCGTGCCATTCATTATTCTCATAAAATAATGATATAGTATTTAGGAGACGCGTGCATTGCTCAATTCTCACAGTGAACGTTTGAATCTAACGTGCTTGCTTCCGGAGCCATCGGCGTTTAGTCAGTTGGTGATTTGCCTCTTGGATTGAGACCGTCAATTCGATTGTGCAGAGATGGGTCAAGTTTGGGTTACGCAGAAATCAACTGGCATATTAGATCGTGCATACATCTGGTTCTGAAGAATATATTTTGGTGAGCCTCTGCATCGGGAAACATTGACGTTTCCAATGGGGATATCAAGCCAGTCAGTGTACGAGGCTGGATCAAGATCAGACAACACTCCGTCAATGTGTAGCACGTTGTGGCGTTGGGTTGGGTCGGGTTCGGGCAGTACGGTTCAATATAATCAGTTGAGTTCGTTGTCCTTGTGCACTTGTATAATTTTGTTGCCGCTGTTATGTTATGTTCCTTGTCGTCGTGTCTTAATCCGAAACTAGGCAATCGAGTGGGGAATGTAGTCGCGACGCCGAAACCAGAGAAACAATCACAATATCTGTCAAAGTGTTGAATTAAAATCTGCTGCAAATGCAAACTCTGTTTGGTGCGGCTCAATCGCGTTTGGTGGAAACCTTGAGGCGGCAATCCAAACTTAACAGCCAAATTGCGCTCGAGATGCAAGTTCAGTCGACTCAATCACCAAAACTATGACAGAGTTCCAATATGACCCTGATGATGGTCTAACTCTGATCCGCGGGTCATGTCGTACGCACATATTTCCAGAGTCGAACTGAAGCACAAAGCTGATGCATGCTGAGTGAATTATTGCTCGGAAGGCTTGGTGCAACGCAACACACACGGTATTGCAAGTTCATTCCGCCAATGTACTAGCGAGATCTCAGTTCCGACAAATTCGAGTAACAACTCTCAAAAACGTTCGCTGAGCGTTCGTCTCTGATTAGTTATCGCCTCGAATGTATGAGAGTGGCGAAAAAAGTTGTTCGATTAATACATCACTTATGCCGGTAGGTTCAATTTTGGATGTGAACAATTCAAGTTATCTACCTTGCGGAAGACCAGTTCAAGTTTTCGAAAACGTTTAGTGACAATCGCTAGAATGATTGCTGGGCAACGTTTTGCTTTTGACACAAAAGCTTCTTCAGGCCAAGAGTCTAGGTTTCAAGATGTTATGTCTTGATGTACGGTAGTGCAACTCTGTGTCGGTCCCTTGGCTTCCTGCTCCGCCCACTATGGTATGTCAAAACGCACGGTAGCTCTACACAGCCCTTTATGGAAACAAAGGAAAATCATTACAACTATATATATATATATATTGTAGTCACAGAGTGTTCCACAAGGTCGCGCCAGAGTGTCCGTGAGGTAGCGAGAAGCGTTGAGTCAAGGTGCTTGACTCGGATTGGCTGGCATTCTGACCAACCAGGGCATGCCTACATCTGGCCCGTGTCCTGCACATGACACATGCGTTCAAATGATGTGATGTTCGTTTATTAGGGATGGCCGGCCTCCAAACACACTGACGTATTTCGGTTTCTGGACAGCCACGAAACGGACGTCAAGCTTGGGATAACTGTGCTGGTATATGCAATTCTGGGGGCAGTGGGATATTTTTGGTTGGCTAAGGTAATCCGCAAAGATAGAACAAAGCCGATGTAGGATCACAGTTATTTCTCTAATCTGGTTGGAGATTGTTGTAGGTGTATATTACAAGTCAGGAAGAGTAGACAACACATAAACATGGCGTGTAAGGTACGCATTGCCGAAGGTTAAATATTTAGAAGACAAGGGAATGGGATGAGGTAATTGAAGCCCGGTGAGATTAAGAAGACGTCCGATCGGATAAAGTGCATTATTGGAAAAAAATTTAACCTTTATCACAATTAAGGTAGTGAAACAAACTGATTAGTTGGGACAAATTAAGGGTGGATTTTTACTTCATAGACTAGCAATCAAGCACGTTTTGAATCCACTAAAATATGCTATTATAGTACAAGAGATCCAGTATAAGGTCTGGTAAAAGCACGCAGAGGTGGTGCGGTTGGGGAAATCAAACATATAAAAACTGACGAGAGTACGACTTCTAAGAAGATCGACTAATTTATTTAAAAATTACTACTTGAAATTGACAGTACCACAATCCAGGAAAGAAAGCAAATCCGAGAGAAGTGATTACCACTTCAAGAAGCACTGTCCCTGGAC